CACGTACCGTTAAACGTTTCAACGTATGAAATCTTGCTTTGTACACATCAATCGTGTTCTTCGGTGATGTCAGTATACTACTATATACGTGTGCCGTTTCCCTCGTTTTATGTTCTAACTGGAAGCACGCCCCTCGACGCCACACATTTCGATGGGTGAACTTCGGCTCAACTCCGCTTCCTGCTGTTAACGCGCCGGCTTCATGTCATATCCACCATCAGCACACATAGCTCATTTCACTTGCACATACCTCCATTCCAGATTCTCAGCAATCTCCAGATTCCCTTTTAGCACCAGCAGAAACACAACCACGGGAATACATGGGCGAACGACAGGTAAGCAAATATGGAAAACGAGATGTAATAATTTACAGGATTGTAGGCACCAGTCATTCGTTCACTTTTTATTGCATGTATGGGACCAAACACTACGAGGTTTACGAAGCGGAAGAATATTGTAGAAAAATGTCTAGATTTGTTACTAACACACCATCTAAGCCCAATTTGATTTAAATTTAATTTAATTTTAAATTTTTCAGTTAAGTCAGGCAACACCGCAGGCGGGTCTTCCCGAGAGGCATGATAGGTGTGAAGTGAGATCTTTTAAGAAAGTCCTACACCCCTGCGACTGAACCACTTAAGCTGACCACATCACTCTACTAACATCCTCTTTTAATTTTTTTTTCTGTTTTTCCCTGAATATTCCATCGGAACGGCGACCTCTCAGGTGAGTTTTCACATTTCCCGAGTCGTACTATTTGTGAATGCGCCTTCATTTTTCCTGCTTCTATTTCCGATCTCCATTCTACATTACATTTCCTTGTACATGTGTACATGCAGCTTGCATAACCCCTCCACATTAGCACATTGCTTTGCGCCTTAGAGAGTTATCAGATTCCTCTCGTGGTTTCCAAAGTTATTCGCGAGGAATGTTGTCCACGCTAACCTCTTGGAAAACCGCGAGATGTCCTGAGGAAGTGATTGAGCAAAACTATTGTACTTCCTATGTCTTGTTGATTCCCCATGCTCATCATTCATACTAGATTACGAGAGAGAATTTCTATCTCTCATTCTTGGGCCAGCAACATTTCCAGGCTTCTCGAGGACCTCCACAGGATTCGCGTAGCAGTGTTCTTCGCGACTACCTGTGGAAATCACGAAAAATACCTGGGTGGTTGGCTGTGCTGTTCTTTGTACACAGCAAAAGATACAGGCGATGATGAGGTGGACTAACTTCTTAGAACATGGATGCGTGCGGATCCTGTTCCATGCGGAAGATGTATTAAAAACAAAGAGGAAAGAAAAAAAAATTGTGAATGGCCGAGACTCAAGGAAAAGGAAAAAAGGGAAAGGAAAAAGAAAAAAAGCTGTGCAAAAATAACAATATGATGATGGCCACAATGTTTTCGACACGCTCAAGTTTGACTCGCCGCTGAATCTACAACAGGGAAAATAGTTTAGCTGGATTTGAACCGCACTGACTCTCTAGGAGATTCAAATTGACCTTGGCTAACATGCAAATAATGAAAAAGGCAAAGACTGTCGAAAATTCACTAGTGAATAGATTCAAGAAAATGTTGGGGAACGTACCTACGTGACAGCCGAATGGAATATGCGGGGCAAAACAGGAATACAGTAATAGAGAATACTAGAAAACTCATTAGTGGAACCAGCAGTAGTCAGCTTGAGTGGTTGAGTCGCAGCAGCAATGAAGTGTATATAATAGATCGGGAGAGATTACGGTTCTCGAAATATCGGGTCATTGCACACAGTGTGCCTGAGTTCAAAATTGCGCGCGCGGGAAATTCAAACCGCTTCCAGCTGCTGGCGGAAAATAATCGCGTTCCGCAAAGTGACTCACCAACTTGAAGAAGTTGGCTTGCCTTGAACGTTAGCAGGGTTATATCGAGGAAATTGGTGGAAGGCTAAGCTATTCAATAGAAAACGAAGATAGCGTTAGATATTAGCACACTTCTACACCGAGGACAGTGTAATACTTGACCAAAATGAAGGGAGGGAAATCATCACGGTTATTCGAAACGCTCCACGTGGATAACAATGTGAACACAAAAGAAGGGTTTTTTTTGCGCTACGAGCTTCTGAGCAGCCCAGGAAGGGGCTAAAGAAATGTTTTACAAGTTCACGATGAACTCGGGTCGATGGAAAACACTTCAGTTTTCTGCACGAAAGATTCGGGTGGGCATGTTTTCGTTCATGCAAAAGATCCCGACTTATGTACGGGAAAACAAGGAAATAAAAAGTGTGAAAATGCCTTTTTTGTGACACCAGCGATTATCGTCTAGTAGTTCCGAGTGAGAGAGAGAGAACGATAGAGAACGACAGCTAAACGAAATTTGCTCTCTCGCCACATAAGAAGGATTAGATGTCACACAATCTGAATAGGTCCTGGGGCCGTATGCTATACTTCCCCTCGAGGGGAGATATCCCCTAGTAATTCTCCACTCTCTGCCCTTATCTCTGCTGATGCCTCTCGTCTCTCTGGCTCTCGCCGCTCTGCATCCATACTCTTTTGGCGCACGCTCTGTGCGAATATAGTGCAGCGCAGAGTATAATCGATATGCTTCCCTCTCCCCCAACACATGCCGTTGGGGGAGATTCCGGGTGACTGGGGGAACAGAGATGCAGAGAGGCTGAAGCAGAGAGACGATGGGCATTGATAGAGATAACGGCAGACAGCGGAGGTTTAAAGGGGGATATCTTCCCCTCAAGGGGAAGTATAGCATCCGTTCAGTCGATTTTGCATTGGAGCGCGATCGAATCAATCGTGATCGAATCAATCGCGCTACACACGGACGCTAGCACTAGCGACGCGATCGACGTAGTCGTATGCGGGCGCAATCTATCGCTCGAACGCGCGACCGAAGCGCCGCCGTCGCAAAGTCTGAGCGCTGCCTAAGGGTGCATGGACGAACTCGCCCCAACTCCAGTTAAAGGACGCAGGCACGCAGAAAACAATTCAACCTCGCAACATCTGGCGGCTACATGCCGCACTCGACTGGCACCAGCATCTGGCGGGTGGATGCCGCACTCGGCTGTCACTTGAGATTTCCTCCCCCGCGCGCGACTCTGAATACAACAATAGGTGTTGGAGCGCAATACTCTCTGCTTTGTAGATCCTCCCGTGAATCCACGAAGTGTTTCGAATTTCATTATTACACAGTTCTTTAGTTAGATGGTGTTCAGTGCTGGAAGGTGGTAAGAGGCTGGGAATTGTCAGTTTTAGTTTTTTTTTATTTTCTCCCACGTACATTTCGGAAAAAAATGCTTGAAAAACGCTACTCTAATGCAATTAAAGAGGCGGAAAAACAACAAGCCGTAAAAAAGGGAGGCTCGTACGGTGCCATTGTTTTCTACAGGCCGGCTGCGGCAAGTTGCCAACAATTTCTGGTGCCACTGCGTACAAGGAGCGGCTACCGTAATCCCACGCCTAGTTTTATTCTTCTATTCTCCCAATATGGCGATGGCGAATTATGCGCTTATATATGTGCATAAAATATTCGTATATGTGTATATACATTGGGCACTATTCCACAATTACTACCCCAGTTTCCGAAAACAGTCCGGATCGACATTTTTCTACGAAGGCAGATTTGGCTGAAAGTTGGGTTCCAGGGGTAATTCGGCCTCCTGAACACGAATATCACATCCGCTCGGTCTGAAACCGCCTGGCGCCCGCGCCACAGGCGCCGGCGCCAAAATACCCTAGGTCACCAAATCCGCTGAAAACTTGTATAGGGAGATTATTTGACGTCTTGATTACAAACATCACATTTATTTTTGGCGTGGCGCTGATGGAAAGCACCGCGATCACCTGCGCGTTGCTAAGGCTTACAATTAGCCTGGCCTAAAGGGCGTCACCTTAACCCATGCTCAGCCCTAGAAGAGCGCTAAATGGCGCAGCTGTCGAAAAGTGAATGTCATGAAAATTAATTCGGTATTCGTGATGGACATCAGGTACCCTACCATGCAAATTCACATGGATTTGGTGAGAGAGGTGGTGGCGCCAAACTGCTCCAGTTTGGCGCCAGAGCTGGAAAACGAGTGCTGATCAGGGGACCGACTTTTCCCTATGGGCGAAATTTCAGCGAAAAAAATTTTCCTGACCTTCTGAGGTAGTAGTAGTTGAATGTTGCCCTTGCGTCATTTGGCGCCTGTTTGGCGCCACATCGATAGAAATCTGCATAATAAGTTTTGATGCCCACCACGAATATGGCATTCATTTTTTGGCATCAGCGTCATCTGCTCCTCTGAGGCTGAGTCCGAGAGGAGTAATTCCCTTTGGGCCAGGCTCAGCCTTAGCAGAGCGATGACCGTGATGCCCTTCATTAGCGTCAGCGCCTAAAATGAATGTCATTCAGCGTGATCTGGATGTCAAATAACCCCCGTATACAAGTTTTCAGTGGATTTGGTGATCTAGGATATTTTGGCACCGGCGTCTGTGGAGCGGGCGCCAGCCCTGGGGCCGAGCGGATGTGATATTTGTGTTCAGGGAGTCAAACCGTCTCGAGAACCGAACTTTCAGCCAAATCTGCCCCTTTAGGAAAAAGTCCTTCCAAATCTGGCCTATTTATGGAAGACTGGGGTAGTAATAGTTGGACAGTGCTAATATTTTTTGAGTTGGGGTAGTAACAGTTGAATAGTGCCCCAGTGAGTTCTCTTTCCCTACGGACGTATAAGTTCCCTAGTGAGTTCTTTCTCTAACGCATAAATTCGTTTCGGCATGTGGTCTTACCTGGGGCATTTCGGATGGTTCCTTCCTGCTCTTCCTTCATTTTCGCGCACACCCCGCAAGTATTGATCGCGGTAGAGGCGGAGCTGACGGCGTAGGGTCCCACAGCGAATGCCGGGTGCCGGCGCAAATTGTTGGCAACTTGCCGCAGCCGGCCTGTAGAAAACAATAACGCCGGCTCGTACCGACTTCTCCAGAAGGGGAGGGAGGCTGTTACTATTAGTCTATGAATCCCTACTAAAAAATGCATTCTACTTGCCACTTACGAGGATTTCGTAGTCCTGCTCAGAAACTGGAACAATTTCCAGAGAAGTACAAACTGTAGGGTTGATTGGTTCCAAAATAACCTTAAATGTCATCTTTATTGTGGTGACTATGTCTGAAGAGAGAATGGTACCTCACCTCTACATTGGTATCAAAATTCGCCAGAGTAGCAAGATTTCTGTTCACGAATATATGCGTGAAAGGGAGGCTCCCGAAAACCTGCACATACAAGTAGCGCTGTGGTTTTCCGCAACATCGAACTCGGAAATATCCTAGCGAAGAGCTCCAGTCATGCTAAACTCTGGTCCTACTTCGATAACTAAAGAAACACCGATCTGAATCCAGAACAGACCTTTTCCAAAGATTCCAATGTCCCTTCATGTGATGCAGTGTTTTTAACGTATGCGAAACAATTTTTCCAATCGTGAAACCGTATGAACGATGGATAATTCGCGTTAATCATAATATTTTCCTGTAATACGACAACACATTACTACACTTCATTGTGATACCTGATAATGAAGCAAAAAACTCTGACACAGCAACCCGCACTTAGTAGTGGCTCCATGCCCCTATGCTGATATGGTGATATCTACGAAACACGGGCTGTCTCGGGTGATACCTAAAAATCCCATTCAGACGACGACGCGGCCACGCTGCGGCAGGCGGGAATCGCCAACTTCAAGTGAGAAAGTTACACGTGCGAGACTTGCAGGCAGGGCACATCGTTGTTGGGGAATCCCCAATAGGGGGGGGGTCGTATTTGGGCTGAGAAAAATTTATTTTGATAGTTGATTTTTCTCGCTTCATGGACGTTGTAAAGGGAGGGGGGGTCGTATTTACGTTTTGGCGTTGTGGGAGTGGCGGTTGACTTTTGGTGATTTTCCTGTTTCACGTACTATATGCCCCCCCCCCGCTCGACGGCTCGATTCGATGAGGAAGGACAGAGGGCTGGGGGGGGGGGGTCGTACGGACTCGACCAAAATCCCCAACCAATGCTGTGCCCTGTTTGCCGGGGAGTCGTAGCATCTGTCACCCGAGCTGTGAGCTTGAGGCACGAAGGTGGAGCCCTTCGGACTGTGGCTTTGGGAAGAAAGAATGTGTTGGTGTGACTCTCAGATGAACTTTGTTTCTTGGGCTGTGAATGTTTTAGTCATTTCAGAACTTTTATTTATCACCCAGGGGCCATATGCTATACATCCCCTCAAAGGGGAGATTTCCCCTAAATCTCCGCTCTCCGCTGTTATCTTTATCAGTGCCCCTCGTCCTCTGCTTCTGCCTCTCTGCATCTGTGTCTCTCCCACTCTGGTCTCCGAGCACTTGTCATCCGCGACAGTGGGTGACTTGGGTATATGACAAGCGGATCGTCCTATGCTGCGGACGTGGGCGGGGAGTGCGACGCCGCACGCGGCTAGAGACGAGCTGCGCTTGAATTTCACTGTTAAAGGGACGCTCCATTTGGCTTCGACGGCGTATTCAGTGTATTCCGTTTATGTGAAATATTTAGGCCGCGTTCATACATGATGCAAAACCGCGGAATACGCAGACTTGCGGAACTTGCAGACGTGTGGAAATCGCAGAACCGCGGAACTTGTAGCGGTGCAGAATTTGAGGAACCGCGACGTGACGCGACGCATGAGCTCGCATGGCTTGGGGTCGCTGCATACTTGTAGACCGCATGTCAATTTTTTTTCCTTTTTCATTCTCTTCATTGCTACTTTCTTCTTCGGTCGTTTTCTCACTACTCGTCTGTGAACGAATTGTTTCCTATAGGCCGGCATGGGCAATTTGCCAACAATTTGCGCCGGCGCCAGGTATTCGTTGCGGGACCCTACGTCGCTAGCTCCGCCCTGCCCCAATCGATGCGTGCAGTCCTCGATTATCGCTTTTAACACAAATTACGACTGACGTAACCAGCATTAAAAAATACGACATAGTATTACTGAATCGATATTTCCAAAGGCGGCACTCGCTGGGTGGAACGGGATTTTGCGAACTTTTGCAAATGTGCCGAGACATTTTGCAAAATCCTGTAAAATTACCAAATGGGCCAGTTCCACGATTCTTAAACTGTTTATGGCTAAATATAAAGAAGTTATGGATTCCGGTCACAAAGCAGCAACAGACTAACTTACAAGACCTTATGGCCGTGTCGTTCTTCCTCCGTCCCCCATTTTTCCTCGGTCATTTGCCGAAGGTAACGTAGTGGCAGGTGGCACACCTACCACGCGTATGTTCTGTGAGTCAATCCCCTGGCTCCTGTCCAGGCCAATCAATCCTTCTTCGGAAACAGTAATTCGAACCAGTTTCACCAGGGATAAAAAAACTAAGTTGCACATCATTGTGGCTCCTGCAAGTCTTGGTGTCTTTCATAAGTCACTAATACATGAATGAAGTAGGATATGCGCCGCATCCCAAAAAGGGATTATCCTTGTACACCCTCGCCTTCAACTCCTTTCAGACCCTCGCCTTACACGACTGCAGTTCGAGTGCTCCCTCCCTAGAGTTGATACCAATATCGACTGCCGCCTAAACCTACACCCGGAAAAACGGCCGGACGAGTTTTACGGGCGCAAGTCGTCCACTTCGTTGTGGGACCACGCGTCCCTTTAACTTCATTTGAATTAGGATACTTCAATAAGAGCGGTTTTTTGTGAGATTACCGCTCTTGTGCGTAATCATAGTTAATAGGCGCAGTTTATCGACGGGGGGGGCATTTTGCTTTCCATAGATGTGTCGACCCATCTAGGTAGCGTTTTCTCGAGTTGACACGTTTTGGGATGGTGGCTAGACGATCCTGCTCCAGCTTCACAAGAGTTCACAAGTTTCACCAAAGTGAGATTTGCAAACCGGAACAAGGGAAGCAGTGATAGTACGAAATGCCCCCCGTCGATAAACAGCGCCTAGTTAACATTTTCTAGATCAGCTTCTGCTTCGAAAGGCTCATGAAAGTGGATACTGTTTCGTGCTTTGGTAAGTGCATACTGCTTTTGGCTTTGTGGATTGGTTCCGGAGCTTCCGCATGAGCAAGAGTGGCTCCCATGTTTGTACTCGGGGCTGCTCTCGTTCACCTGCAGAAGGGGTGGGGATACAAGTAAGAGCGTTATTATGTTGTGGACTGCGTTACAATGGGCCTGGTTATAAGCATGAATATCTTCCAGCCTACTATTGTTTCTTCGCACTTTTCAGCATTAACTGTTTTACCTTTTGAATATAGCACCTTAGGGCGGTGTTATATTCATGTCCTAAACATGAAATTACCTATATTTTGCCGAGTAGGGAGCAGAAGAGCAGATGAGTCATCGCTCGCCGCGCGCCGCATGGTCCCCCAAATACGTCATCACCGATTTTCTACTATGAGGTGCACATCATTGTACGTGTCTTGAGACGGTGAACTCAAAACTGTCTTCAAAATTTGCGGAACGATTCTCTGAGCGGAGTTACGAGGTTTTTCTTTACTGTTTTTCTTCTTCCGGGCGCGCTGGCGCCGAAGCGTTGGCACCTGTAGCGCGACTCACAGCGCTCTTCGCGCAGAATAGGTATCATATTCGTGTTCAAGGGGTCAAATAACCCCTAAAGACGGCACCCACCCGAAACTTGTGGTTCTGACACACGTTCGAAACTGACACCTCTAACAGTGCTCTCCTTGTTCGGCGAAACAGCGCGACGCGAATCTGATGGTTCCGGAGAACTATATTGCATCAGTTGTGCTCAACAACTTGAGAATTCAGGACTTATGTGCACAAAACACCTACGGCCTAGCCGCTATTTCCGGTACGTTACCCGGAACTGTTCCACTTTAGATTTTTGAAAATGGCATGTACGGTTCCTCTGTCTTAGGTTGGCGGCTTACCAGGATGCCCTGCATTCGTTTTGGTGACGGCTCCCCATCGCATCCGTCTTTACTTCGATCTCTCAGCCATGAGAAGATTCTTCAATTCGCCGGGGATAATTTAAGAAATAGGTTAACTTGTTAAATATCCTTTGTTTCAATGAAGGAAAGCGGAAAGTGAAAGTAAATTGTTACATGTTTCGCTGTTGCTGTTTTATCAGCTTCTTTTCCCGTTATCCCATTTGTTGATTGTTATATTGCTTTTTGTTGACTCCACCCTATTATTGTTCTATGATGACGGCTACAATGCGTCATACATTCCCGAATCTTGCAGTTCTTGGAGCTCAAATTTAGTTCTGCTGTTCCGTTAAAAAGGGTTTTCTTACGAAGTGATGTCTGTTGTGATAATGATTGTCGTTATAAATGATGCATCCCGCTGGAATGTGCCCACAGCGCAGTATTAATGGTTAGTAAGCGAGCGCGCACCGCGGAAGCTGCATTCCCTGCTTCTGTCGTAAGACTGTCTACTCACTAAAGTTTATCCTTAAGGCATCAATGAAGTATATGAGATCAGCGTATAAATGGCGTTTACAAAGAGTACATTAAATGGCAAAGATCCACTACATAGGCTAATAGGCACGACAATGACACGACAGACAACAGGAGATCAACAGTTCTGGGTGAGGCAGGGCTTCGCCCTGAAGGCACTGAGAAGAAGCTCGAGCGTCCTCGAGATCGGCAGATGATCGACTGTCGTTGAGATGTCGGCTCGTCCTCGCCTCGCCGTCACGCCCTGAAAGTACAGTCCATGAGTCATCCCACCGGAATGCCGATTCCACGCCTGAGTCGGTGTGGCTTAATACAACTACGCCACTTTCCCGATTGGATGCCTGATCAGGGTGGATGCCGGCTATTTTCAAGTCGGTATGCAACGTGTCGAGCCAGCGCTGTTTGGGACGCCCCTTTGGCCGCTTTCCTGGTACCTCGAGTTCGAGAGCAGTTTTCCGGACGGTGTCAGCCTTCGCGCGAAGTACGTGCCCGTACCATCGAAGGCGCGTTTCACGCATTTTCTCCGCTATGGGGGCTACACCATACTTGCGCACGACATCGTTACAAATGCGGTCCGATCGCGTGACGCCCGCCGTCCAGCGCAACATCTTCATCTCCATCACACCAAGGCGAGCCTCAACTTCTTTGGTCGCGGGCCAGCACTCGGCACCATATAACGCGACAGGTCGGACGACAGTACGATAGATCTTTTATTTGAAGGCGCTCAGGCATTTTCTTATCTGCGAAGGTATCCCGGACATGGATCGCCATTTCACGACCCACGCTGCACCTCGACCGCTGCGCTCACTTCCCGGTTCAGACCTGAAGTCGGCGACGCAAGTGCGAATCCCGCAGCATACTTGCGAAATGTTTCCGTGCGCTCGAGCACTGGGCGCACGACTTCAATTGGAGCCCGTCTCCCTTGTGGGGTCATTCGTCAGCGTACTCGGTTTCATGTTCTCGACGAGCTTCAACCCCCTGAGCTCCAACTCTCAGTCCACGACGCTGACCCAGAGCTGCCACCTCGCTGTTCCAGTGCGCTCGATTATCTTCCACAAAGCCATAACTCCATCACGTAAACG